AGGTTATACTATTTTATTCCCTGCATTAAAAGCTCTTTTCTCCTATGATGATGGACCATTTGTCTTGACTTCTTTTTTTGTTTGTTTAAAGATTTATTTTATTGATACAAGAACCGGAGTACAGGCCAGAGGTGCGGGAAGGTGAGAGGATTCACCAGAGACAGAGCAGGGAGCAGAACAGGCAGAATGAAATACACTGCTGAGGGGAGCAGCGGGTGAGACAGGAGAGGTCTGCCTCGCCATGTGGGTTTCTCCCTGGCAGGCCGGGGATCGAACTAGCGCAGCAGAGGCTGTGGGTTGCTTCATAGTGCAGTGCTTAACCCCTTGTGCCACCAAGGACGCCCTTCATTCACAGTTTTAACATGTGGATGTTCAAGCTCTTACCTCCAAAAGTGCAAGCCTAATATAAATGTATGGCTGGGTAGTCCAAGCTGGTCTAAGATTTAAGACACACACCAAGCCTGTCAGATTCACAAGACGACAAGAAAACTAGAGCACACAAGCTGTCGGTGACATTGGCCTGGTAACAACAGAAACTGAATATGTACAAGATGGAAGGAAACAAATGTGACAATCCTTTTATGAACTATTTGAGTGCTATGTCATATTTCTTGGAAATCTTTCAATGATAATAATGCAGAGGAAAGTGTCATCTGCAAACACCAGAGAAAAGTTCTCAGAGGTGGGCAGATTCTATCAAAATGTTTATATGGGGTACATAGCTTTTGGCTCCAGTTGTCTTTGTTCTGTGTTGATTCTCACAAACAAATACTAGCAAGGTTGATAGCTAAAATGAAAGACCAAATATATTACATTTTGATTTGTTTGCTAAAATATAAAACCTGTTCCAAAAATTATGACAATTACTGAATATAACTAAGCAATATTCATTGCTAAGCAAATACTGATGAATATAGCTAAGTCATTTTGTATGCCAAGCAGAAAACTCCCTACCACTTTTTAATTTATCTGATGAACAACCAGAATTATCCAGCAAAGATGGATTTTTCAGGTCACATAATCACCTTGCATTTCATCTTGAGGCAAAACTAGAAGTACACATCTGTTTCAAAGACATAAAGCCAACTCTCAAGAGGCAAATTTTTGGAGAACACCCAAAATTATGGGACTTGAGAATGAGTTTTGCAGTGCATCAGATTAACTGACTGAAGTGTGAATACAGCATCTGGCTCAGCAGTGAATGTTTTCATGAGTTCCAAGTCTAGATAGATCTTTCAACTACTATAGTATAGAGATCTCTCCCTCCTTTGAAGCCATCACACTTACTGTCAGCTTTAGTCATCCGACAAACAAGTACTGCATCTCATACCATCCCTTGTGTAGTCTTGTACAGCTTTTTAACTCTTTGATGTATGTATACAACTTCAACTGCACTGTAAGCTCTGGAATTATATATTGCAGCCCTTTTATCTATTTTAACACCCAACAGATAGCTCTGCACACAGTAAGTGCACACAATAAAGTATTTGGTGAAGGAAGACATGAAGACAAAGCCTATAGAAAAGGAGAAAAATCATATAATAACTAGACAGAAAACCACCTACATTTGTTTATCTGACTCCAAAATTAGACTGGAATTGCTAACAAACAATGTTTCTTCTGGAAAACAAACAAAAGGCACAAAACTTCAGAACTATATAATAATCTGTGTGCCAAGGCAGCCTCAAACACATTCATTTTATCCAAATACCAATATCACATCAGACTTCAAAATTAAACTGTGAAACAATAAACAAATGTTTTTATCTAACCTTAAGTTAAAATCCTGTGTATTTCAAAATATACACATTCATTTGGATACTATTTAGAAATAGTACTTCAGCAGCAAAGTCCAAGAGTTAGCGATTCAATTTCAATATTTTCATATGTTAGTATTTTCACTGCATAGCCAAGACAACTGCAGCTGAAGTTAAGTGGCATGCTTTAAGATTATTCCAAAAGGCGGTCAGGGAAGAGGTTGATATGAGACTGCTTGGCAAGTAAGAACAATGAGATGAAGGCTGCTCCATCAACATGTTCAAACTATCTGATTAAGGGAAAGTATAGAAAAGCTGAAGATACTATAGATCTCTTCCCTTCTTTCAAACTTAGAAGAAATTATGTACTAAGTTTTCAGAAATGAATTTTGACAGGTACTTCAAATGTGTGAGAATAGAAATATAATTGGCTCACATGGTGTTCCTCCATGAGCCTCTGGTAGTATATAAGAAGTTCCTCCAAGCCCACATCTTACTGTACTACTTTGTTTCTAGTTTGTAAAATCTAAAGCAATCTAAATCTAACAGATTACTGACTATTTTTTTGCAAATCTCATCAACAGAATAAAGGGAAAGAGATTTCTGAATTGCTAATTTCAAAGCTGCGTTTCTGAAACTGGGATCTAAAGATTTGCTTTCAGGGGGTTCAGATTCTCTGAGAAATTTTTTAAGATTTATTTTATTTATGCATACAATAGCTGGGGTGTAGGCCAGAGATGTGGGGGGTAAGAGGATTCATGAGAGACAGAGTGGGGAGCAGAACAGGTGGATCTACTGAAATACACTGCTGAAGGGAGCAGCAGGCAAGAGGAGTCATACTTGAACTCCTGCTGCTGCATGGGCTGCTGACAGCTTCATAGTGGTGTGACTTAACCCCTCTAACCACCAGGGAGGTTCCCTCTGAGATTTTTTTTAAGGTTGTGTTCTTATTTTCATAAACAGAATCTGGATTACTTGTCATCCATCTCATAACTACAAGGAGGGGGGGTTTCAACAACCACATTTGCTTTTTGCCTTAAATTACATAAAGGTTCCTAAAGTGACAAAAAGTTGTTTTCAATGCAGTATTTTTCAAATTGAGTCCATGTTTTTGGGTTTGAATTTGAGTAACAATGCTCGAGATTAGTATACTTTGAAAAATTCTCCTACATTCTGTTTAATTTGGTGAATTTGATATGTATGTATCAGTGCCTACTATGTGCTGCACTGGAGATACAGAAGTGAATAGGAGCCATCACAACTTGTCATTCTGGCAGGGAAGACCAGCACTGTTAATGAAGTCTTTGCTTCCTTAATGGAAATCACTCAAGGAATAGAGCACTTAATGGGGAAAAAAGTGATCTGCCCTCCTTGTCAACTGCTACTGTGGACCAGAGAACCTATCAGCATTCAAATATCCTCAAAACATCCTAAGAGCCTGAGGTCAGTTTGGAGAAAGGTAAAATTATCCCCTTTTTAAAATTCTTCAGAAAAGCTCAATCTCCCTTCCTTGCTTTGCGTTATTCTTCTCACAAGTGGACAAAGAGGCAACCCAACTAGACAGTTTCTGGTCTTTTTAGAAATAATTTTAGGGATTTATATTCTGTGAGGTTTTGACATCACAACATTTTTTCCCCTGGATTGGGAAATTTCTATGGACAAAAACTGGTCAAGTTAAAACAGTTACAGAAGTCTAAGGCACACAATTAAACTCAGGAAAAGTTAATGGATAGATACACAGCAAAAATTCTCCCTTCCCCCAATTTTAACAGTGATCTTAAATAAAGCAATGAGTAAACTCCAGAAAACAGTGGCTACTACAAACTACTACTTTAATTCTGTCTATAAGATACTATTTTAACATCCTTATTTAAAAAAAAAAAAAAGGCAGCTTAAGAAGACCCAAAGGTACATAGTACCTAGTACCAAGTGAACCAATTTAATTTTGTAATTAAGAAATGGGTACCAAATTACTTGCTCTATAGTCAGTAGATTTGAAATATCTTAGTTTCTGGACCAAATTCTCTATTTGACCCCACTGGAGTCAAGATCTCTGGAACTTTGGAGAGTTCGCCTCCTCTAGGGTAATTATGATCATTCTTACTGGGTTTCCACTCCCTTCTCCAAAGAGTTCAGGAAAAATTGCCATCCTTATGAGAAAAGAAGTGCACAGACACCATGACTACGAGCAAGAAGTAGTTCAGTGAAAACTGGGAGAAAGAAGCCTATGTGAATCTTTTAGCAGAAACTGGGATGATGACACTAGCTTAACTAAAAAATAACGCTAATAACAACTCCCTATCTGCCAATAACACAAATCTGAATGCCTGGATCAAGTCAGTAGAAACAGCAAAATGATAACCCGGCTGATAGTAACATTTCTGGCCCAAATGAAGCCTCTGTATTTCAACATTCAGCTACACAAGGACAGCCAGATGCACACTGAGAGCTTTACTTGTCACCACATCCGGCACGATAACTAAAGCAGGGGGAAAATGCCTTCCATGAAGGAGCTTCATCAAGACACACAGCAGGGCCTCAAGCCAATCTTAACTCTGGAGGCAGCCACACTCCAAATTCCAGACCAACTCTCAGCCAGGCGAACTTTAATCGTGCCCCTAACTCCAAGGGAACAGAGCATTGTCTGCCTACAATCCAGCCTCTCCAATTCTCCAAAGCATCTCAAGCCTCACCCGTCCTTCGGAGCTCAAGTTAGAAGCAAGGCGACTGACACAAAGGCCAGTCGCTTCCGAAGGCGCATGTTCCTACGGCCCTGCCACTGCCACTCACTGCAAATTCCTCAACTGGGGGCTCACCGGTCCCCTCCTCTACCCTTCCTCGACGCCGTCCGGCCGGTAAGCCTCAGCCTGGGCGCCCCTCCGCCAGGAACAAAGCGAGGGGCCCCGGCGGTGGGGGCGCGAGGCGCCAGCGGCACCCCGGCCGCCGCACGACGCACAATGCGAACTACCAACTTCAGAGCGCAGGAATACTATTCCCTCAATTGGCAAGAAAGAGGGGCGGCGGCAGGCACGCCCAACTTCAAACTCAGGAAACCTACGGGCTGGCGGCCATCTGGAAAAAAAACCCCTTCCCAGGGAGAGAAGAAAAAGGCGGAGGAGATGCGGATCGCCCACCGGGCCCCGGAGGGGAGCCCTGCGCTCGGACCGGCCCCCGCCCCCGAGGCCCGCTTCCCCGCCTTCTCTCTGCCACTGGTTCGCGGCCCCAGGCCGGGCGGCCGGTTACCTTGATGCGCTCCCGGCACTGGGACGGGGTCCGCTCGTAGCCCAGCTCGGCCAGGGCCCGGGACACGCGCTCGTACATGGCCGGCCCGGGGGCCTTGCTGCCGAACACCGTGCCGGCTCCCTCCAGCTGCTGGTACCGCGCCTCCACCAGCCGCTCGTTGCCCCACACTGCGATGAGCGCGTTCGTCTCGGCCGGCGTCCACGACATGCCCCGGCAGGCGGCGGCGGCGGCTGCCGCAGCCCCGCCACCGCCGCCACCAGGGGAGAAGGAGACCGAGGACGAGGCGGCGCTGCGGCCCCCCAGCCCCAGCCCGAGACCCCCGGACGCCGCTGCCCCCGAGCCCGCGGCGCTGCCCGGCCCGAGCGGGGAGGCGCCCCGAGGCGTGGAAGGGTCGGACAGCGATGGATTTCCGTCGCTCAGGCCGCCAGGAGACGCCGGGGAGAGCACCTCCATCTTCGGGATTTTTAGCGGCGAGTTGGCGGGCAGCTCCGAGCCACAGGGCGCAGCCATCTTCCAAGCGGCCGCCGCTGCACCGCCCGGAAGTGACGCGCCCGCGCATCCGGCCGCCGCGGGCTCCGGGGCTGCCCTCGGGCCTGGCTCGCCCGGGCGCGGGCGCGGGGGGGCCCCGGCGGCGGCGCGGACGCCGCCCGCGCCTCCCGGCCGTTCTCCGCGGGCCCGGCCGCGCCGCCCGCCCCTCTCCCGGGGCGAGGGCCGGGGGTGAGGCGCGCCGAAGGCCCGAGCTGAGGAGAAGGGTGGGGGCATGAGGGCGCCGGCGTGAGGAGCAGATTGGAGCCTTCCCACTTCCTCTCCAATCTCAGCCCCCGGGAGGCGGGGGGAGGCCCGCGAGGGGGCCCGGAGTTAAGGAGGACTTGACCATTGCGCTCGCTCGCGCGCCTTCTCCCGGCGCTCTGCTCTCCGCCCTCTCCGCCGGCCTCGGGCGCGGGCTGACGTCCAGGGCGGAAACCTGGGAAGCGGCGCCGGGGAGGGCCGGGAAGGCGCCCCGGCTGAGGGGGCTGCGTTTCTGCGGGAGGCTTTAAAAAGCGGCCGTGGACCAGCGTTGTCGCTTTTCTAGAAACGCTGGGGCGTTGTTTCCAAAGAACAGCAATTACTGATTCCAGCTGGGATCCGTTTTCCAGTTTATTTAGTTTGGATGGGTGCGAAGGTTTGCAGAAGGATTAGATGGAATTGCGTTGGCACCGTTTTCTACGGCTTAAGTCTGTGCCAACTGCAGAGCCCAGCAGAAAAGTTTCAGTACCATTCCTCGGCCTCCTAATTGGGAAGTTGTAACTGCTTGCCCGGTATTTTTTAGACGCCAGAGTATAAAAAAGATTAAAAATAAGACTGTCGGGGCCTCCCTGGTGGTGCAAGGGGTTAAGCGCCGCACTATGAAGCAATCCGCAGTCTCTGCAGCACGGGTTCGATCCCCGGCCATCCCTGGCCGGCCAGGGAGACACCACATGGCACAGCAGACCTCTCCTGTCTCGCCCGCTGCTCCCCTCAGCTGTGTACTTCGGTCAATCTGCCTGTTCTGTTCCCCACTCTGTCTCTGGTGACTCCTCTCACCACCACCACCACCCCACCTCTGGCTTGTGCCACAGTTCTTGTATGCATAAATAAATAAATCTTTAAAAATAATAATAAGACTGTCAATTGTGATCACTCGTCCTTAGTGTGTTAATCGCACCTGAACGCACCTTAAAATGCCAAATCCAGCATGTACTATAAGATATCTCAATATTCTTCAAAGCTAAAACTCTTTAATTGTGGCTTTTTTTCTCCCAAATATGGGTGAGCTATTTTTTGTAAAATTTCAAATATATGTTAGGCTCAGAAAATTAGAACTGAGGTGAGCTACAGGTTTAGCTCTGAGAATCGCTGAGCATGGATGGTATGGTTGCATTTGGAAAGTCAAGGGAGTCAGCCATCAGGATGAAGTAGACAGTTGACTTTGTATTGCGTCTTAAAATGCCGCCATAGTTTATAAATTACCGGTATGAAGACGCATAAAGAAGTTGCAGAATTTATGCTATCTCTTCCTCTTTTTCTAAGAAAAAGATACACTGTAGCACCTTGGTTAAGAGGATAGGTGGATTCTAGTGTCAGGCTGCCAGACTTCAAATTCCAGTAATGTGACCTCACCCAATTTACTTAACTAACCCCACAGTTCCTTGGTTTCTTCATCTATAAGATGACTTTGATGAAGGTTAAGAGTAGAAAATTTGGAAAGGAGGCACCACAAGACCACAAACCTGGCTCAAGCAAGCAAAAGCTGGAAGTGGGGGTGAAGTGATTAATACAGTCATTAAACCAGCTATAGAAATCAAGAATCCTCAGGCGCCTACTGCTATCAGACTGCTATACAAAGTGTCGGGAGGCACAGATCAGAGGTTGGGAGGTGGAGATGGAGGGCCATTATGGAGAATCACTGGTCCTTACAAATCAACCTAGTCACACCCTAATAGTAATTAGGTTAACAATCGTTAACAACTCCACAAAGGAATGAACCTCTCCCAAAGACAAGACTAAAACAGTGCACTTTCTGCACTGGCAAGGGGTATCATCCCTTCTTCCTGCCCACCTGTGACTGTGAGTGTTTCTCTCCACCAACCTTCACCCTTTGCAAAGCAGCGGAGGCAGAGCTCCTCCCAAGGCTGCCTGCCTGTGACTGCAGGTCTATCTTTCAGCAAACCTGTCTCATTGGGGATAGATCTTTCTGCCCGCTTGTGTCTGTGCAAGTGTCCTTTACTCTCCTCTCCCTTTGCATAGGAAACCTGCCCTTTTGGATATAAGTAAAATCTGCCTCGTGGGGAAATTGCTGGTGCTGCTGAAAGGGGAGATCTGGTGAAACTTCTTCCAGGGGTAACCCAAGGGTCCCGGATTTCTGAACCCAACATCTCCCCAACCTTACTTCCACTTCACAGCATTGTTATATTAAATTAAAAATGTTAATTTAGGTCAAGCCCTTAGAATGGTGCTTGGTTCACAGTAAACACTGAGAGCTGTAACATCGCTTTTCCTGTCTTCTAATTATTAGAATTTTCCCTTTGTTGATTTCTCTCCATGAGTGGTTTTTAATGTTCTCATTTTCAATCCTATTAAAGGTTCTAATGGAATCTCAAACATCTATCAAAGCAAAATTCACTCTCATTCAGCGCAACACTAAGTTTTTTAATGTCTTAAGGTAATTCATGTGTCTGAATGGGAGAGTCGTACCTAAATCATTTGCTAAATCAAAGACTCCAAAGGGTTTTTTAAATTACAATTTAGCTCTCACTGTCTCATAAACCTGGGGGAAAAAATTCTCTTTCTATTGTTAATATTCTTAAATCTGGATGATTCTTAAATCAACTCTGACTCATGCAGGAAGCCTTCCTAGGTAAAGTGGGTAGACTTGAGAAGTGTCCCCACAAACTGTTTCTAGACATCATTTCTATATACTCTACTTTATTCCCACACAGATTGATCTACCTAAAGAGAAAAAGTTGTATCCAAGTGAAATTTCCAGTGATATCCTACAGTTAAAACCAAACCGGGACTCCCCGGTGGCGCAGCGGTTGAGCGCTGGGTTGCAGAGCTGCCGGCGACCTCTGCGGCGCCGGTTCGATCCCCGGCTGCTCCCCGGCCACCGGAGGAGGGTCCCACATGGCGCGCAGACCTCTCCTGCCGCCCGCTGCTCCCCTCAGCAGTGTACCTCGGTCCTTCTGCCTGCTCTGCTCCCCGCTCTGGCTCTGGTAAAATTCTCTCACCCTCCCGCGCTTCTGACTGTACCCAGTGCATGTACAAACAAAACGAACGAACAAACAAACAAATAAATAAAAACATGCCTCTATAAAAAAAAAAAAAAAAAAAAAAAAAACCAATAATGTAAACCCTGCTAAATATATTACATACTAAGGAAACCTGGAATCATATGTCTGATAATGACTGACCAAGACTGAGCCTGGATATCAGGGGGTTATATGATATACTTGTTCAAGACCTCATAACGCCATCAGAATTTATGGCATGGGTACTGTGTGAAGGCATGTGCTACACCTTTTATTGTTGGTCCAAATGATAGTCATTAAGTAGATAACAGCTCATTGAGATAATGTATGCTCAAAAACAAAACGTGCAAGGGGTGGCACAAGAGGTTAAGTCGCCATACTATGAAGTTATCCAAAGCTACTGCAGCACAGCACAGCTCCCCTCCCCACCTCTGCACCCCAGGCCAGGGAGCTATCCACTTGGCGCAGCAGACCTCTCCTGTCTCACCTGCTGCTCTCCTCAGCAGTATATTTCAGTCAATCTGCCTGTTCTGCTCCCCACTGTTTTTGGTGAATCCTCTCACCCCCACCCCCACACCTCAGTCTGTACCCCAGTTCTTATATGTATAAATCTTTTTTTAAAAATAAAATGTGCAAGAATGCAGAATAGTACACATTGTGTTCTACCTATAAACTCTCAAGTACTCCGTTTAATTATATCAGTCCCTCATCCATTTCCTTCACAATTTGTGTTGTGTTCATTTCCTAGCTTTTCTAGGAAGTGTGGGGGTATCATTGCTTAATTTAAAAACCAAGGCCCCATCCTTTTCCAGCAGGCAAGTTTGGGAGGGCTTGAATGGATAAAGGGAGTGGATGGAACTGCCTTGGAGACCTGGACATTAAGCTGATACCCAAATAGCTGGTGCTAATTCAGATCATCAGTCAAGACACACCCAAAACTAGTCACCCTAACCAGTCAATGATGCCTGGGGTATAAATAGGGCCCCAGGCTCCCCATTTTGGCACAGAAGACCTATCCTGTCTCAGTTGCTGTTTCCTTTAACAGTGTTAACAAGTCTGCCTGTTCTTTCTCCACTCTATCTCTGGTGAACTTTTTCAGTTCTGTGCCCCTGCCCTACACCCGATCCCCCCCCACCACCACCAACTAGTTATAATTTTTTCATTTAATATCCACTCACCCTACCTAGTTCTTCCCTTTGCGTTTTCCTATTCTAAAAGGTTAGTTAATTCTGGAACTTCCTGGTGGCACAAGGGCTTAAGACACAGCCTATGAAGCTATCCACAGCCTCTACAGCAAGAGTTCGATCCCCAGTGGGCCAGGGTAGAGCTACCCACATGGTGGCCAGGGAGATACCCAGATTGTGCAGCAGACCTCTCCTGACTCACCCACTGCTCCCCTCAGCAGTTTGTTTCAGTCAATCCTCCTGTTCTGTTCCCCACTCTGTCTCTGGTGAATCCTCTCACCCCACCCCCCACACCTCTGGCCTGTACCCCAGTTCTTGTATGCATAAATAAATAAATCTTTAAAAAAAAGTTTAGTTACTTCTGGCCATTTTTTAGTGTATTTTATGACTGTTAGTGTATTTATTGCTTTATCTGATTCCTTTCCATTCCATTAAGTTTTTTTTTTTATTTAAATGAATCTTTTTTTTTTTTTTTAATAGAGGCATGTTTTATTTATTTATTTATTTGTTTGTTTGTTTATACATGCACTGGGTACAGTCAGAAGCGCGGGAGGGTGAGAGAATTCACCAGAGCCAGAGCGGGGAGCAGAA